CAAAATGGCTTTCTAAAAGTTGTAAAATTAATTTGTTGCTCCGAAAACTGCAAAATCCTTAATTATTGATTAAAAAAAGTCTTTTTAACGTGAACCTACACATTTGATATCGCGTTGTATTGCAAAGTTTTGATATGTGGTGGTTGATTTTTACAAGGTTTAATATCTCTTCAAAAACGAGCAATATAAAAAATAAATATAGAGAAAACATGGAAACTGAGTTGGCTACAATCAGAAACTGACAAAATATAAGAACGCATGAAAATGTAATAATAAAAGCAAACTAAGAAGTTATTGGGCAACACATAGAAGAAAGAAAAAGTTAAGGTATGATAGAGAATATGAAAAAGCAGCAGATTCAGCAAGAAGAGCCAGACTAATCAGAATCAAAGTATATTATCAAAAGTGAAAAAGGAATTGCTAATAAGTGGGACATCGAAGGTACTGGAAAGGTGATAGTCCTACTTCCACGGTTTATTAAATAGCACTGGAGGATACGGCACAGGAGATAGAAGGGATAGATAAAAAACTGCTAAAATGATAAAAGATGCAGAAGAGCTGCTAATAAATTTGCTTATTAAGGAGATCTGGGAAGATGGAAATTTTGGGAAGACCAGATGATAGATCCTATAAATAAAAAAGGTAAAAATAAAAGAAGTGAAGGAGTAACGGAGCGAATACTAGCAAGCAACAGAACATACTGGAGATATCATAGACTAATGAAGGACAAAAACTTATCACAGAAAAACAAAACTAAAAATGCACAGAGTTGTTAATCAGAGCAGTGGTTACATATGCCAGCTGAAACAATGTGTCTCATAGATAAAGATAAAGAAAGATTACGAATATTTGAAAAGAAAATCCTCAGAAGAAGTATGGGCACGATAAGAAAACGAAGAAATCGCGAGAATCGAATTAAGGAGCTCAAGTAAGACCAGCAAAAAGACTTAAGTTGAATTAGAGGACGATATTATATGTAGAAAGTTTCATATATCAGGAAGTTGCATTAAACACGGATGGAACCGAAGAACCAGAAAGTCGAAGAAGAATAGTAAAGAGAAACAAAGGTTACTTGACACTTGCCCATGGGTTCCGCTCCAAACACACACTGGAGATCGAAAATCATGAATGCGGAAGTTATGAATGCGCAACATGGGTAATGACAGAAGACGCAAAACGAAAGCTGGAAGTCTTTGAAAGAAAAGTCCTTAAGAAGATATTTGAAACTATTAATCAAAACGTATTATGGAGATCCAGGTACAACCATAAACTCTACTAACTGTTCAAAGAGGCTTCGATCTCAGAAATATTTAAACTCCAGAGACTTCGATGGGCTGTTCATGTAGTAAGAATGGAGACCGAAAGATTGCCAAAAAGAGCCCTATATAGTAAAATGCAGGGCGCAAGGCCAAAAGGAAGGTCACGGAAAGGATAGGAAGATGATGTGGCCGCAGACGCGCAAAATTTGCTAGACGTGAGAACCTGGAGAGGATCGGCGCGGGACCAGCAAGGTTGGAGGCATAGTCTCAAGGAAACCAAGGCTCGATTTGGGCTGTAGCGCCATTGTAGAGAGAGAGAGAGGGGAAAAAATACTACGATATTACTACGAATAATGAGAAATAGAGTCGCTATATAAAAAGACCACATGATCAATAGAAGACCCGCAGAAAAAAAGGGCCGATCAGGTAACAGGTGGTTAGGTAGTGCCCAGATCGATTTGAAAAAAATTAACATAAATTAAAATAGAGCCATAGGAAAAACTGTGACATGGTACAATATAAAATAGACAAATATATCCTTATTTTGCCGTTTGTAGAGCAACAAATTAATTTTACAACATTACGAAAACACTATTTTTAAGCTTTTTTAATATTTTTATACGAATTCAAAGCATATACACTAGAAATCTGCAATGTCTGAATATGACTTGGTATTCTAGGAGACTACTAACAGCTAAAGAAAAAAGAAGTTTGATTGAATATAAGCAAATGTTTGACCCAATTTATAAATGAATTTTTGTACATGAGTACAGGCATAAAAGAAACCAACAGTAAAGAAAATACACAGGATATTGAGTGTTCCATCATTTTGATCTACACTAAGGCTACATTAAGCAAAGAATGGACTAAATAAGTCTAATATAATAACATTTTTGTATATAGTAATACCATTTCTATAGCTTAGTTGATTTTCGTTAAATATGTGTAACTATGTAAAGGTGACAAGTGAGATAAGATCTCAAGGTGGTATGTTACCCAAGCATGCGAGATTATATACTGCATATTTAAAAAATTAGTACCTTTTTGATAACTTAAACGTAACTTTTTATAGACTAAATGAATTCGCCAATTTTTTTACAACTGATTAGTGAAAAGTTATTGTTTTAGTAAAATGTTGTAAATAAATACATTAAACTAATCAATTCATATCAAATGGTTGAGTACAATTTTGAAATCTCAATTCTAGATAAATTCTAACAACTATTTCACATTGATTTTTTACGCCGTCTCAGAATTAACAGAATGGTATAAAAATAGACAAACAGGGTTTTCAATTTGTGCAATAAATTTGAACGGCATTTTATTATTTTAGAAAAATTTTATTGTTGGTAGGTAATTTAGTATTTCAAATTGATTTTAATCAAATAATTGAAACATTTATAGTCTTTTTTTATATAAAAACGTGAATGTAGCTTAATTATTAATTAAATATTCAAAATAAATAGACTTTGCTGGCTATCGAGTCTATTTCCTTGATTCTTTTAGAAAATATGTATCGTAAGAAAATTATGGATTTTCAAAATGTAGCAGAATTCAAAATTAGTGCTACTAGTGAAACTAATCAATATAATTAATTAAAAATGGTGTATAAATATTGCAAATGTACAGAAATGTACTTAATTTATTGCGTTCCTTAATTCTATTTTTCTTATTTATTATGAAAACTGCTAAAATTGTAGCTTCGATTTTTATTTCTTTAGTTGTTGAACAACTTATTAAAGAATTCTTAATTCATTATATTATACATGCTTGTAATTTTTACACCTCTACATGAAAAATATGGTGCTTAAACTTTTCTATTAAATTTTTACGTCAATTGTGCGAAAAAAATCGCTAACAAACAAACTAAACAATATTTAAAGGTTATAGAAATAAATATTAGACTTACAATCAGTTTATTCTACCTTGGACCACCGGTTTGGAATACTAAATTTTGCTGTTCATCGTCAGTTCTCCGGAAAGGTTAAGTAAATGCTAAAAATTACAAATTATAACTGTTAGGGTCCTATAAATTCTGCCAGTATCACGTAGGCATATTTTCAAAGAGTATATAACTTTTGAAATGCATCAAATAAGGAATGTATTATAATGTAAGTACCATTTATATAATCTTTCAAATTATGAATGCATAATATTGGCATACTTCATAGTATACCTGATAGAACCCTAACAGTTAAAATTTGTACTTTTTAGCATTTAAGTAACCTTGCCGGAGACCTGACGATGAACAGCAAATTTTAGTGTTCAAAACGGGTCGTATAAGGTACAATAAATTGACGGTAAGTCTAATAATTATTTCTTTAACCCTTTGAAATGAATTCACATGTCCAACCGATTCATCGTTTAAACTATATTAAAGTGTTCTCGAATAATTAATTACAACTCGTCACAAATCGGTGATATTCTGGTTAATAACAAGGAAAATGCGAAAAAATGCATTTATATTGGTTCATAATATATGAATCCCTGCACAGACACGTATCGTTAATATCCAACCATATCTTTTTGGTCTTCTTTCTTCTTTTCATGCCAGGGACTTAACACCCAGCAACTGTTCATATTGGACACCTCAATCATCTTAACGTATGGTCTTTCGACAGATGCTACCTCCCTTCATCAATTACGCAGCCTTTAGTGTCCATTGGTTAACATAAGCCTCCTTCAGTCGTTTCTGGTACTGTCAATCTTGTACCGTATGCATCCAGTTTGTTGTGAACTCTCTTAACGTCATTGCCCCAGCTTGTTACGTACTTCCTCTTCTATTTGCATCAAAACTATAACGTCACTACCATGTGTTTAGTCCACCTACCGTCGTTCATTCTCGCCACGTGTCCAGCCCAATTCCACTTCAGGTATGCTATTCTTCAACAGCATATTTGATTCCTGTTGCGCCTATTATAATTACATTTAGGACTATATCTCTTAATGTTAACCTACATAACATCGATCGCTCCATGATTCGCTGAGATACTCTGATTTTTTCCAAAGATTTTTTAATAAATGTCTCAGCTTGTCAAAAGCCGCCCAAGGTAATTTCTCGACCTATCCTAATTCCGAGACCTAAACATTTTAGTGTTACATGTTCGATATTCACGTCGTTTACGGTTATATTGCAGCTGGGGACTAATTTTGTCCCCCTTTGACATAAGGTTAATTGGTAAGCATACTTCTTTTCATACAGAGTTAAATTATTCAACAACTCTTGGGCTTATTTTGATTGTATGGTATGAAAACGATATCGTCAGCGAAGTTTAATAATTTTCCTTAATAAACGTCGTCATATATAGTACTAATTTCTACTTTTGTCTGTTGACTCCCGGAAATATTATCTGGATCGCTCGAATCGCGGATTAGGAAAGCTTCGTATACCATATGGCCAACAATTCTTCTAACTTGATCCACTTATTTTTTTTTCTAAGCCTTTGTATCACTGTGTATCCGAAGTAAGTAAGGTAGGGCCAATTTATATTTGTTGACAATCTTGTATTGACCTTCAGTTGGTTTAATTTAAATATTCGTATAATGCTCTGTGTACGGTATTCGCCACAGTCCACATTTCAAAGACATCTTTCATGTTGCTCATTATTTAGACCAGCTTCTTTTCTGTGCACGCAAAAAATAAACTATCGTGCACATATATACGGTTAGTTATTCTTATGCCACCTATCGTCATTCCGCTTTTCCATCCTTGTAAGTTCTTTATATCGACTAAATCGCGTCTTATTGGGCTACATCTCTAGAGTATTCATCAGGGGCATATTCCTGGGTTTTAAACTCCCAAGACTTCAAAATTACACTAAATATTATACGCTGCATTCTCTCACTAGCACTATACAGTAAGAGTAGTGATAAAGTGCACTCATACTTTTTTTTGCTGTTTTCTATATATTCCGATGATGTATAATAGTTTTCTATTTTATACAATTGTACTGCATCATCATCTTTGGCTCTACAACCCTGGGTCTTAGCCTGTTCAAGAATTAGTCTCCATTCCCCCTATCTTTCGCGCTGGCTTTCCAATTTCTGACCCCTAGATTCCTCAAGTCATCTTCGACTTGAGTTTGGAATCTAGATCTTGGCCTGCCTCTCTTCCTGGTTCCTACTGGCTCTTGATAGAATATCTGTCTTTGGGGGTCTCCAGTGTCCATTCTTTCAAGGTGTCCTAGCCACCTTAGTCTATTAATTGTAATAGACCGGACGATGTTGCATTTTTCATAGCCATTGATACAACTCAAAATTGTGGCGCGCCATATCCCAGTTCTGTACTCCTCGTATGTGTAAATTCATCTTCAAGCGGCTAACGTTCTTCGTCGCTTTTTACCATAGTCCATGTCTCTGACGCGTATGTCAGGACAGGTTTAATAAGAGTTTCATATATTAGTATCTTGGTTTTTCTGCTAATTATGTGTGATGTTAAAAACTGCTTTAGTCCAAAGTAAGCTCTGTTCGCCAGTTATATTCTTCTCTTAATTTCTACGCTTACTAGGTTGCTGTTATTTAGTTGTGTTCCAAGATATATAAACTCCGAGACCCCTTCGAATGTGTGTGCTTCTGTCACCAGATCTTGTGGTGCCGCTGTTTGTGTGCTGTTCGTGATCTTCATGTATTTTGTTTTGGATACGTTAACCTGCAGTCCCATTGTCTTCGCGGCTTTTTCTAATGTTTCAAAAGCCTGTATCAGGTCTCGTTTTGTCCGTGTTACTATGTCAATGTCATCTGCGTAGGCCAATATCTGTACACTTATATTGATGATCGTACCTCTGGTTGTTATGCCCGATTTCTCTATGGCTCTTTCTAGCGCGATGTTAAACAATAGACACGATAGACTGTCTTCCTGGCGTAGTCCAGTATGTGTTTGAAAAGACCTTGACACTCTGTTTTGTACCTTGACTTTGCACGCAACTTTCGAAAGAGTTGCCTTTACCAATGTTAGTAGGTGCGACGGAATATCTAGTTCTGCCATGGCATTATAAAGGGCGCTTCTGTCTACACTGTCATAAGCACTTTTAAAATCTATGAAGAGATGTGCGTGTGCACATTTTAGTGCATGTGACTTCTTTCCGGTTTTATTTTCGAAATAATATTGCCTCATATTTTATTTTCTTGTTGTTAAATCTTATATAAGTCCTTTTCTTTATGACTTTTATTACAATTTTTTAGATATTTCTATCTGATAGGTCTTAAAAACCTCAAATGTGTTTATTCCCCTTTAAGGATGGGTATCGAGAAAACGGGATAATACAAATATACGAGTATAATCCCAAAAAACTGTAAATTTCGCTTTCAATTGATGAAGAAGAAAAGTTTGACCACCCTAAATCTTTGTAAATATTTTCAAAGTGATAATATTGTTTTCGTGTGATAGAATTTTAGAAATTAATTTAAATTTTTATAGTTAAATTGGGATTATTAACATATTTTAAAAATTGTACTGCACAGATCTAGCAGATTTTGGAAAAACCATGTTGATTAGAAGTTTTTCTTTGGTTAAATATGTAAACAGAATGGTTTTCGTTGTTTGGAAAAGTGGGACATGACATAATGCCAAAGCAAATCCTAATATACATTTCAGATGAGTTTTGCCTTTGTTATGAATTAATTTTCGAAGTTCATTTAAAATTATTTACAAGTAATTTAAAATTATATACCTATGGAAGTATCTAGTAAGACACTATCATAGTAACGCGTATACACTTATTGTTTTTTTTTTTGGAGTGTTAGTTGTAATGTCCCTCATAGATAGGAACATAAATCTACTCAGGGTTATTGAGAAAACACCAAGTAAATAATATAAACGATTTGATGTGACGTATAGAACATATATGTAAACCTTGTCTATATGTGGATTTGTGGGCATTTTATTTCTGAAAAACAGCAGTGAGAATTATCATAGAATTATGTGATGTGCTAGAAACTTGACGGGCAGTAAACGTTGTTTGAAAAACAATTCACGTTAGGAATTTTTATAAATTATTTTTCTATTTTGACTTGTACATATGTAGGTACCAAAGATGTTACATGTTTCTATATTGTTGATGTGTAAATGTAATCTTATAAATAATATGACCAGGTAAATGAAATTTGTGGGTAATATTTGCTCAGTTAGTAAATTTCGAGTTGGAAGATATGTCAAATTAAAGGATCATGTTATTTTCAACTTAAATTGCTTCCTGCTTAGTGTCCGCTAACCGTGTCACATCCTTCATACTTCGTGATTTCTTCTGTATACCACAAAAACAAAACACATTAAAACTATTCAACGCAAGCCATATAATGGAATAAAAGTGGACAGTTTCCTTAAGTAAGAGTAACAGTAATAGATCAGGGTCAATAATTTTTAAAACCAAAAAAAATTATAGTAGAATGAAACCTATTGGAAAAGGAAGAGATTATGCCAAACATGGAACAAAAAATTAATTCCACTTCATCCGAGGTCAAGAAGTAGAAGGGGGTGAGTTTTTAAGGGTCAAAATCGGTTTATCGCGATTTTCGACGAAAGTACAAGTGCTATGGAAAAAATTTAAATGGCAAAGTTGTAGGTAACAAAAAGATCAACAACTTTTGTGTTTACACTTTTTTCATATAACCTCAAAATTTTTGTGGAAAATTCAAAAAACTAAGTTTTTGGTTTTTTAATTTTTTTATCTTTTACAAAAAATTTTTTTTTACGAAATTTGTGAAAACTTGCCTTAGTATGTACCAAACACACTGTAATTTTTTGGAATTGAAAAATTTATTTTTTTACCTGATATTGATTTAATATCGAAAAAGCACCCTAATTTTCAATCGAAAATTCACGCGTCAAAATATCAGCTTTTGTAAAAAAGTCGGTGGGCTTTTTGTTTGTTGAAATCTCTACTTTCCGATAGTGTAAAAAAATATACATTACTAGGGCAAATGTTTTCAAGAAAAGCAAAAAACAAAAAAAAAACAAATCGAAAAATATTTTTTCATCATTATGTACAATTTGAGATATTTCTTATAATTAATACTGTAATTAGTCATGTAGCTTAAGATTTCATGATACATTGATAAACAAAAAAATTATATAATCCACAAAACATTAAGATTGCAAAAAGACATGTGAAAATAGCTGTTAAAAATATTCAAGATAAGATTTAAAGGGAATTTCATCAAAAAATGTGACTGCTATACGATTTTTTTTTTACAATTAAAAAGCTGGTTTATTAATGTTTAATTACATTTTTGTCATGGGCAATCTTACAGATATTAATTTATATTAATATATATATTATATAATATATATTATATATATATTATATTTATGATGTATGATGTATATATTTAATATATATTATATCATATTATATATATATATTTATGATGTATGATGTATATATTTATCATAATATTGTTTAGGGCATTAATTTTTGCCTTTTTGATGGCATTTCTGCGTCGCCTTCTGATTCTAGAAGATCTTCGAAATCTTCAAGAGCCATCAACCTTCTTCATCTCCAATATTTGTTTCCTGTCTACGTTACTTCCTCATCCACAATTTTATCAGAATCATTATCATTAATTTCTTCGTAGGCTTTTTCCTCCACATTAGAGCATTTTTCTGAGCCGTGACAACTTGAACATAAAATTGTGCATTTCAAACCATGTTTTCGGCAACCACATTTTAAATTGTTACATCCAGTTTCACAGCTGCAGCAAATAGTTTTGAGCAGTATTTCCGGGATCAATTCCTTTTCTGTAAATTTGGGCATAATGCCTCGTTGATGTTGTTTCCAGCCCCAATCTGTTGCTGTCAGTTCGTTGCCCAGTCATGTTTGAAGCTGATAATATGCTCTGTAACAATGTTGTTCTGCTGCACCTTCTGTGGGTGGGAGATTTGTCAATACGAAAGATGATTTGATTTTTTCCAATTGATCTTTTTGAAATCGTAATTAATTGATTCAGCGCTAGCTTATCATTTTTGCACTTATAAAAATAGATTTGATTAATTGTAATCCATTTTTTGCGATATCTTGTTTATTTGCATCTTTTTCATAAAAAATGTTAGCCAAACTAGAAAATTTTTTAGCGTCTAATAATGAATTTACGATACTTTTCTTTTCTTTCCCAGCAAATTCAGATGTTGTATCTTGTATCGCAACCTGAAAAACAATGCAGAAATGCAATGATATTTTTGCAAGATTCATATTTGAAACTATTCGACGTTAAAAATTGATCTTTTACAGTTCCAGAATCTTAGATTAAAGAAACCAGAAACGGTTTCGTTAATCTAAGTCCAGAACCTGGTTTAAGAAGATAAATGTCATTATTATTTTCATTTAATTGAATCCATTAAGGACCAAAAGATCAATATCTTGACCCACAACAATGACAGTTTTATTTGTATCTCTGGCAATTTCTATCGAAGTCTTAATTAGATCAGTATCAACATCTCCTTCTGCTTGTTTACAGAAAAATTCTTGTGACTAATATTTCTATTAACATTTTGATTATTTTGTCTTTGTTTTTTCTCGTTTGATAAAAATTTTTCCTGCAAAAATGGTATTTTATTGGTTTTGATAGTGAAACTCTGGAATATTGTCTAAGGTTTTTCTACGACTACTTTCTCCTTTTTTTAGTTGAATGAGCTGCTGGTGCTGGTGACACAGTTACTGATTTTTCAATTTCGGGATAGCCGTCAAAAACGAAATGGCTGCCTGCTGCATAATGTTTTTCGACATAGCGCAAATATACATTCATGACTCTTCCACCGTTTCATTTTCTGCCAAATTACTTTGTGCGTAATTACATTAACATGAGTAATTGCAGTGTTAATTTTAATAAATATCTCAAAATGTACATAATGGTGAAAAAAAAATTCGATTCGAGTTTTCTTCGTTTTTTGCGTTTTTTGAGAACATTTCCCATAGTAATGTATATTTTTTTACACTATCGGAAAATAGAGATTTCAAAGAACAAAAGCCCACCGACTTTTTAAAAAAAAGCTGATATTTTGACGCGTGAATTTTCGATTGAAAATTAGGGTGCTGTTTCGATATTAAATCAATATTAAGTAAAAAAATAAATTTTTCAATTCCAAAAAATTACAGTGTGTTTAGTACATACTAAGGCAAGTTTTCCCCAAATTTCGTAAAAAAAATTTTTTTTGTAAAAGATAAATAAAAATCAAAAATTTAGTTTTTTTAATTTTCCACAAAAATTTTGAGGTTATGTGAAAAAAGTGTAAATACAGAAGTTGTAGATCTGTTTGTTACTTACAACTTTGCCATTTAACTTTTTTCCATAGCACTTGTAGTTTCGCCGAAAATCGCGATAAACCGATTTTTTACACTTAAAACCTCCCCCTACCACTTCCCGACCTCGGATAGAGTGGAATTTATTTTTTCTTCTATTTTTAGCATATTCTCTTCCTTTTCCAATAGGTTTCATTCTACTATAATTTTATTTGACTATTTACCTTTTTTAAAGGCTTCGAAACTGGTCTATAACCTTAATATAGATTTTAGCACACTATTCCACCTATTCGAATAGAGAACTTGATATTTCGACTGATCATTTGATATACTAATACGTATATACGCTTTTTTTTCTATATCTTCTTTTTCAATCTATTAAGTGCTGATCTTTTTTCCAATAAAGCCTGATTTTTTTTTATTTATTGTTTCGCGTTCGCCATCAATTTATTTTTTTTAATCTCACTGAAGACATCATGATATCCCTATATATATTTATCTCTCTATAAACAGTTTGATTGAAATTTTACTCTGCCTCGTATACCATTTAATGGTTTTAGTTGAGCTATGTTCTTAGTTTTGAGGTGGCACATCGCCTGAATACATTTAATGATTTACTCTTCCACTGCCTCTAAAAGTTTTCTTTCAATTCAATACCAAATTCAAATCTTAAGGCTTTTGAGTAATATACAATTTTGTAGTTTATTACTTCTATTTTTTTTTTTCATATTTTATCGTCTTTGTCCTTAAATATGCCGATAGTATAATAGACAAGGGGATAAACTCTAGTTCGTTCCAAAAAAATATTCCTATAAGATATTTTTGCATAATCACTTTCATGAGACACCCCAGAATATGGTTCAAGAACTCGCCTATGCGA